GTGGTGTTACAGTTTTTGTTGCCTTATATGATTATGAAGCTAGAACATCAGAAGATCTCTCTTTCAGAAAGGGTGAACGATTCCAAATAATTAATAACACGTAAGTTGTAGAATCTTGTGCCAGTTTATCTTATATGTTTGGATGAACATTCAGCATTTCCAAGTGTAGCTTACTTTTGCTGTGGAAAATAAATTTGGATATGTGTAGATTTTTTTTACTGTATATTGTGACTAACAATGTATATTTTTTTGATATGTGATAACAGCTAAACCAGGATTTTAATTAATGCAGGGTTCACTATCCTAGAATTGTTAGCTTGGCTGGGATTAATGACATTGTTTTTCTGATTCAGACAAGGCCACACCTTTAAAACATCAATTGTGCACCACAAGGGAAATCACTGTTTCTCTGAATGTATTATAGCATGACATAAAGCTAAACCGTGGCTAGTCAATATCGATCTCAGCTAAAATGGCCTTAATGCTGCTTCTACCTGTATCTTTTATATTTTGAGTTGGTATAAAATTGCTCTATTTCTTGACAATGTATTAAACTTAAGATTTATCTAGAGTCAGTGCAAGCTGTGAAGTGTGGTAGTAAACCGGAAAAGAGCATTTAAAGAGGACATTTTCAAACCCCTAAAATAAGTATACTGAGTTAAAACTACTTACCTCCATGACGCTTTCAAAGGCAGATATGTGAGAGACCAGAACCTCAACTTACTCACTCTGACAATGTAGAGCCTTAGTAGGGAGAATTCCACATGCCTGTCTGTAGGAATTTCTTTGAATACTATTCCTTTGCTATATCGGAGCAGGTAAATGGTAGAACATTTTTGCACCGAGCTTCTATACTGATGAGAGATTTCAGAGTGGGTGTGGATGTAAATCTTTCTATTCTGATGTCAATCATCATCACTTACTACACCCACTTAGTATGTAAGGAAGCAACAAAGGTCCTCCACTTCTGCAAAATACTCTTAAAGTAAACACTTCTCAAAGGAAATTTGAGCCCAACATTGCTGTCTCCTGGTGCTAGTTGTGTGGCTGTTATACTGACATTCTGGCTTTCTTTATTCTTTATTTACCCGTAGAAGTAATCATATAAATAAAAATCTATAGTCCTTATCTGCCTACTTTTTCTGGGTTGGAGACTCAAAGTAAAGCTGGGTATACACATACCGAAATTACATAGTTACCTAGTCTGGCTAAAAAAAAAAAGACAAAAGTCCATCCATTTCAACCATTAAAAAAAAAAGTTATCCTATACCCACGGTTGATCCAGAGGAAGGCAAAAAAACCCAGCAATTCTGCCGGTTCAGTAGGAAGCAGATGAATTTTGGTATGTGTGTACCATTGTCTGTTCAACAAACTGCCTTCTGTCAAACAGTGGTGCTGGAAGACCAGCATGCAATCAGAGCTTGCATCCAATAGCTGCAGCACTGATCTGTGTAAAAAAAAAAAAAAATCCCCACTGTAAGAATACAATAGCACAGCGTGAGAGGTTCCTGCTTCAACATCCCTTACATGCATACGTGAATCTTTTTTTTTTTTTTTTTCTTTTTTTTTTTTAGTTCAAGCCACTGGATGCAGGTAAACACGCTTTAGTATGCCCTGTGTGAACAAGCAGGTTGAATGAAAAAAAGAAAAAACTATACGTGTATACCCTGCTTATGATAGGTCATCGTGACAGCCAGGCAAAAAGCATTTGTAGAACAAGGTCATCATTGACCGTCTCCATGTTTCTCCCAAGAAAGGTTTCTTGTAAAGTAAACTTGTCGACTTACTAAATTCATGAAAGCAGATGTATATCCAATCACTAACATCTCATGTAAGCAAATTTTGGTATGTTTTTAAATCCGCTTTAATTAAAATAATAGCCAATAATCCTGCCATGGGCTTCGCTGAGGCATTTCCTGTTATGGGGTGATATCTGTTTCCCAGATTTGCCTCTGTATTATCACCCTTGTGCATGCACCCCTAATACAGACTAGAAGCAGCTGTACTAGATTGTAAGCTCGAAAGAGCAGGGCCCTTGATCCCCTCATGTTTTGCATTGTATTGGTATTGTTCTGTCACATGTTCTGTCTCCCTTTTGTAATGTACAGCGCTGAGCGAACTATTGGCGCTTTATAAATACTGTATAATAATAATAATAATACTAACACATAGTGCAAGACATGGTCCACCTTTGTCCTTATCAGAAAGTTGACACCAAATCATGATGTGTAGCTGAGGATGGAGCAAATGCTTGTAGACAGGCAGTGACTGAAAAAAGTCAGGAGGGAGTTAGCAGCACTAGGATACAAAAAAGAGTAAATGGTGAGTTTTTTTTTTTTTTTTATGGCATAAAGCATTTGAAATTGTTTGTTGCAGAGAGTTTAGCAACTTAAATGTTATAAAAAATTTAGCAAAATACATAAACTGCAGCCACGGCAAATGTCTGGAGATATAGAGACCTGAGACCTGTTAAGCAAATTCTGGTGTATGCAGCTATTTAACAGCTACCCACTTTTCCCTGTTAATTACTAAATATACCCATCATAGTGATCAGCCAGTGATATGTGGGGAAGTTGGTTTAAAATAATAAAAAGTAGAATTCCAGCCTAACACTAACTAGTCTAAAAATGTTCATTTCCTCCTTCTGCTACCTATGCTATCTTACCTGTGTAAGAAAACAAAAAAAAATCTCTAAATTTACCTACAGTATTTTTGGTCTGCTTTGGTTCAGTCACGTGATTCCGCAGCTCCGGCTTCTCTCTTTCATTCAGTGGTGGCAGTAAATATCAATCAGCCCTGCATTTGCCACTCACTGACCAGAGCTGACTAAGATCAGTACGTCTACACATTTTCTTTCTTTTTTTTTTTTTTCTTTTTACACAGGTTAGCCTTTATAGTTAGGAGGGAGGAGGAGACATTTTGAAGACTAGACTAGTTAGGGTTGGATTGAAATTCTACTGTAATAGAACACAATGGATTTTGAGGCTCAAGAGTTGCTCATGGAATTAGATAGAGGTAAGTGCTGGCATTTCTGCTGTTTATTCATGTTGCTAGTCTAATGTATTTATTGAGAGAACATTTTTATAGTGAAACCTCTTTACATTCCACTAAAAGAAATATCATAATCCTAAACCATTACTTTGTGGTTACTTGCATCTAACTGACATTCTGAAAATGTACACTTCCCGTGAATCTGTAAGGCACATGTTACCATTGCCAAATAACATTATTGTGTTCAGTAACAAAGTACCTTTCTTGGCATGAATATCAAATGTCTGCTCTCAATCTTCTGCGTGTGACTTAAGGCCTGGGAATTGATCACATGGTTTGATCACCAGAATGAAAAGGGTGAGCTTTGGCTGTAACGCAAGAGACTGCTAAAATAAATTTTGTGCTTCTGATTTTTCTGTAATATAAAGAGCATTATTTATTTATTTGTAAATCCTTTTCTTTTACAGGGAAGGAGACTGGTGGGAAGCAAGATCTATAGCCACTGGAAAAAACTGGTTATATTCCCAGTAACTATGTTGCTCCTGCGGATTCCATACAGGCTGAAGAGTAAGATTGTATTGCTTACATTTTTAGAGGATAAGTGAGCCAACATATTAAGTACTGGCATTAAACTGACACATCTGACACACCTTGAAACTATTATGACCACTAAAAAGTATGATTGTACGAGCTTGGGCAGACATATTGTAATGGAATTTACATGTACTGCCTTCTGTTACAATATAAAAGTGTAACTGGATACAGTCGGTGTAATAATTAAGAGTATTTCTGTGATCGTTCTAAAAACATGCCTGCTTTGCTATATATCTATCATTCAGATTATTAGGGCCCATTCATACTATGTTTTGGCAATGCACACTTTTTAATGCATTGAGGCAGCACATTATTTTTGAATTGGCTGGCATTGCACCTCAATGTCCTGCACCATTTTTGTTTAACACAACACAACACACCACACCACACCACAGAGATGGTTCACATCTCAAAAAATGGTGCACTAAAACTCCTATGCATTGTGGTGTGCTGGCTAGTTGGGTTGCTTTGCCATTCAGAATAAGTGGCAGTGCACTTACTTATGCAAGTTTAGTAGCAAACAGAAAAAAATATGCACTTTAACTCAGACACTAAACAGAAAAAAAAAAATCTTCGGTCCTTTTCATGTGGGCACTGTCAGGTGGATAAAAAAACAAGCAATTGAGGTGAATTTTTAAAATACTTCAGCCGCCTGTCAAAACCAGGCAGTGTCAGCCAGACAGCCCCATACACATGTGGGGTTCGGCAGGCAATGCCACATGCTACTACGCAAAAAGTGTAACCCTATGTTAACTAAACATTGAATTGGGCTTTCGTTTTTATTAGAAATGTACTTTAAAGTGAAATTCCAGTTTTGTCAAACACAATACTCTTCTTAAACTATATATATTGTGAGGACTTCAGAAAACCTTTCCTGTTCAGAAGATAGATTGTTGCCTTACGTTGTCCTTTCTCTAGCTCACGAATAAGAGTGTTTGCCTTCAGTATCCCGACCTGAGCACTCTGTGTAATCCTAAAAGGAATGCCATCTGCATACATTCAGCCATAGAGTTCTAGGGAAATATCTAGGCAAAAATAAGTTACAGATGATGACTCTAATTTTGTGCAGATTTTGGAGAAAATTAAGTCACACAAGCAAGAAATTTAGTTTTTTTTCAGATATATTTAGATTATTAAAAAAAAACTTTTACATTTTTTGCAGTTTTTTTTTTTTTTTAAGTCATTGTGGCCGCAGATTATTTTTTAAAGCAGACCTAGTAGGAAAAATACAAGCTCCGCTTAATAAATTAAGCCCTCCCATAAATATTTGCTTTTAATTAAAAAAAAAGGAGAAAGTGTTATTAAATATGCTTCACTCTTGCCTAGGCAAGGGTGGAATTACCATTCTTCCAGTGAAATCCTGAGGAATGCAAAGTATCCAAATCTTGAAAGAAGATGCTGCAGCGCTGTCTTCTCATGAGTTTTCAGATACTGCGTATTCCCTGGGATCTCACTGGAATTGCTGTGACATCAAATCCTGTGGTCAGGCCAAAAATGTAAGTATATGTGCTAACAATGTTCCCCTGCCATTTTGTGTGTGTTTTTTTGTTTTTTTTTTTTTTTTTGTTTTGCAGTGTGCCCGAGCTGACAGAGAGGAGAACGGTTAGTAAACAAGACAGTTCTCTTCACCGTCAGATATCATCAGAAATCACTGGGCGCCAGCAAGTTCTTCACTGGCCGGGACCCGGTGATTGACAGCAGCGGCCACAAACGGCGGCATGGGTAGGGCACGTGCCCCTACCCTGAAATGCAAAATGTACGTGATTTTGCGCACCCGTGCCGCCCTGTAGCAGTATTTCTGCTATAGGGCGGACAGGAAGCAGTTAAGTAAGGTTTTCTTTAAATGAGAATATGGGAGGGCTGTTTGTTACTGTATGATCTGAATATCGAATTGCAAAGCCATTGGAAAGCTACACTTAAGAAATAGCGTTATGAACCTTGTATGATGAATTACTTTTTTTTTTTTTTAAAGAAACTGTTCTGTTACATGAATTCAGACACTGGTAACATCAACATTATTTGATTTTTCAGATGGTATTTTGGGAAAATGGGTAGAAAAGATGCTGAAAGATTGCTCCTCAACCCAGGGAACCAGAGAGGAACATTCTTAGTAAGGGAAAGTGAAACCACTAAAGGTACATATCTCAGTGTTTTAATGTTTATATGTGGTGAGGAATGTCTTTTTGTTCATGTTATTTAAAGCAGTCACTAAAATCTAATTTTTAGCATATTGTGATGATTACACACTGTACTGTGCAAAAGTCTAATGCAGGTTTGAAAAAATGCTGTAAATTAGGAATGCTTTCAGAAATAGAAGTGTTTATAGTTTATTTTTATCAGTAAAAGAAAATGGAAAGTAAATGAACAGAAGAGAAATCCTAATAAAATCAATATTTGGTGTTACCACCCTTTGACTTCAAAACAGCATCAGTTCTTCTAGGTACCCTTGCACACAGTTTTTGAAGGAACTCAGCAGGTAGGTTGTTTCAAATATTTTGGGAGAACTAACCACAGATCTTCTGTGGATATAGGCTGCTGTCTTCTGTCTCTTCATGTAATCCCAGACAGACTCAATGTTGAGGTCAGGGCTCTTTGGGGGCCAAACCATCACTTCCAGGACTCCTTGTTCTTCGTTACACTGAAGACAGTTCTTAATGACGTTGGCTGTATGTTTGGGGTCATTGCCTCTCTGATGGTATGATAAGTATCTGCCTGTATTTCTCAGCAGTGAGGATACTATTGATTCTGACCAAATCTTCAAACAGACTTTTGCTACAGCCAAATACTTCAGATTTTGACTCGTTAGTTCAGAGCACCTGCTCCCATTTTTCGGCACCCTAGTTCCTATGTGTTTGTGCATTGCACATGGAAACAAGGCAAAGTGACTCAGCTATGCACGAAAACATTGGAACTGGAGTGCAAAAAAATGGCAGCAGGTGCTCTGGACTGATGACTCAAAATTGTAAATATTTGGCTATAGCAAAAGGCAGTTTGTTTGCCAAAAGGCTGGAGAGTGGTACAATAATTAGTGTCTGCAAGCAACTGTGATGCATGGTGACAGTTCCTTGCAAGTTGTGGGGGCTGCATTTCTGCAAATGGAGTTGATGGTTTGGGCAGGATCAATGGTGTTCTCAATGCTGCGAAATACAGCCAGATAATTACTCGTCATGCCATACCATTAGGGAGGTGTGCGATTGGCCCCAAAGCTATTCTGCAGCAGAACAATGACCTCAAACATATAGCAAACAATGTCAAGAACTATCTCCAGTGTAAAGATGGCCATAGAGCCCTGCTCTCAACATCCATTGAGTTTGTCTGGGATTACATGAAGAGATAGAAGGATTTGAGGTGGCCTACATCCACAGATCTGTGGTTAGGTAGTTCCCCAAGATGCTTGGAACAATCTGCTGAGTTCCTTAAACTGTGTGAAAGTGCCTTCAAAACCGCATCAGTTCTTCTAGGTACAAAGAGTGGTCACACCAATATTGATTTGATTTGAATTTCCTCATTTTACTTTCCATTTTGTTAATTTATAAAATCAAAATATTAGCACTTCCATTTCTGAAAGCATATTTTGTTAATTGCTAAAAAAAAATTAACACATCAATTTCTAAAAGCATTCCTAAATTACAGTAATTTTTTTCCACATGCTTAAGGCTTTTGCACAGTACTGTAAGCCAACAAGTAATGGCAAGGCATCCTTAGAAAAAAGGTTTACATCTAAAATTATACCTGGTGATCTTCCCGTGAAGCCCCCTTCTTAGACTCTTCCTTTTTTGAGGTGTGAACACTAGGTCACTGTCTCCTAGTGGTTCTCCTGTATTGTAAGCCATCCAAAATATGCTTTTTCACGGGATTATAAGTGGCCTTGTAAACAATCATTTTGCAGGCATGTTCCACCGTTATTGTTCAGAACAAGCTTGCTTATGGTAATGATATGCTGCTACCTCTTGAGCGCAAAAATATAGCTAGGAGCTGGCTACCAAGAGGCTGGAAGAAATCGGCAATTTTCTAATAACAGAAAACATAGCAGTTGTATGATATACAGCACTTTAGCCAACTTAAAGAATAAGTTCAGCTTTAAAAAAAAAAAAAAAAATGTTTTTTGCACGTAGAAAAAAAAATGTGCATTGACTGCATTGATTTTTTTTTTTCTGTACAGCATTACACCCACAATCAGCAGATCATGGGTGTAATGCCAGGCTCCTGCAGACTTTCAGTGTAGCTGTCTGCATGTACCTCCAATACAGGCAGGCAGTTACTGAAGCTCAGTGAACTACCTAGTGCTGATCAGTGCCCTGCTAATTCATTGAGAACTATGAGCTATCAGCTGCAAAGGCTGATGTTAGTTGTAGTTCATTGATGCACAGGGATCTGTGAATAAATGACGTGGCCTTGTGGGCGCGGTCGAGCAGACAGATGCTGAACATGTTACACCCTAAATATAGGTGTAAACATGTAACATTTTCAGAAAGGTGAACATATCCTTTACTGTCATCCAGTTAGGATTTAGTTCTGCTGTAAAACAAAGTAATGAAGAATTTATTAATAATGTTTAATAAAATAGATATGTTACCCATATCTTTTAAAAGCTAAAGGCTTTTATCTAAGCCTGTCTTGCAATTACTCCTTGACAAAGTGTTGTATTTATTAAATAAAAATATTTCTTAGTATTTTACATGGTAAAAGTGCAAGCAAATATGAATGTTATTAGACTGCTCCCTGTGCTAGACAAATGTTTTAATTGATTAAAGCGTACCATAGGAATTTCCAATGGCGCTTAGTGCCATCCAGTGGCCAAATGTGGTATTTTCCATTTTATGTCAATTAAAATGTTTGACCAGCACAGGGAATTGCGTAATGACATTCCTTTATTGTCCCATTTGCACAGAGCGAAGGTACGTGCACTTTCACTTGGCTATTGCTATGCAATTTTCTTTTAACAAATACACTCTATATTATACTTTTCATCATGCGAGAGAGCATAACCCGAGCATTTGGTAAAACAATGTTAAAAGGTTTAACTAATATGTTTTCAAATTAATTTCTATAGGAGCATATTCCCTTTCAATTCGAGATTGGGATGAAGTAAGAGGTGATAATGTGAAACACTACAAGATCAGAAAACTTGACAATGGAGGATACTATATCACTACACGGGCGCAGTTTGATTCACTGCAGAAGCTTGTAAAACACTACTCAGGTAATTATATCGGTAATTTTCTGGACAGATTTCTGTTACCTCTTCATTTTTGAATATCAAAAACCATATGTTTAGGGAATATTATTCTGAAAGGCTAATTTTTTCAGTCATATTATTTTCATTCGGTAGCACTTTACCTAAGGACTTTGTATTGCAGCGGCTAGTGTGCAGTGCGGTCCAGCTGGACCGACATAGTGTTGATGCGCTGACACCCAAACACTGCACTGCTTACTGGTAGCTGCCCAACATAGTCCCACTGCCTGATGTGAATGGACCCTAAGAGAAAAACTAAACTCATAACGGAATGTGGTAAATCTAATTGCAACAAAATGTATTAAAGAGTGTTATCTTTTGCTCTTCACACCAAAGTGGAACTTCACCTTTGAAAGTTCCGCTCATCTTCCTCCCTCCCCTCTCATTATAGGGAACTTTTCCCCAATCATCTGCCAGGACAGCCCTTGAGTGATGGAGCTCCTCCCATTGAACCAGGAAACACATCGATATTAAAAAGCTGTCCCACAGCTGCATGGTCAGTTGTGTTTCCTCGGTCCAGAGGTGACATGTTACTGTGAGGAACCATCTTTTACACTGGCGCTCTCCATCTCTCTAGAGCTGCCTGGAGGGGGAAGGAGCTCTGGTGTTTGTCTGGCTGTGTTGTTGTGGCCTTACCAGAGTTTTTATTGGGGGAGGTCGTCAGTATTCGGTTGCGGTGATCCCTTCTTTGCACCCGGGCAGGAGGAAACCCACTCCCACCTTCCTTCACAAGCCATCGAGGGAAGCAAGCAGTGATGAGGCAGAGCTTCTCAACAGTATTTTTCAGTAGGAAGTTACACCGCTTGACTGAAGGTCGCTGGGCTTCATTTCCGGTAGAAATGGCTTCATCTGGGAGCCGGGGACGTGGTTACGGTCCCATTCAGCACAGGAAGGAAAGGGAAGGCTGGCATGTTACTTAAAGTGTGGGTGGAGCCTGAGAAGACCATTTTTTTTCTGGCAGCCTAAAAAGATTTCCTTTTGATGATGACCCTGTGGCAGTTTAGAGAAGGGAGCATCTGATTTGGGGTACTTGTTCCAAAGAATCTAAGAAGTCAATTCTCACCTTTTGAAGACATGGGTCTTTTTCGAGATTTTATGGCCATAGGAAGAGTTGTCATTCTCAAGAGAGCTTCGGAAACAAACATAGCAAGTTTAAAACCTGTTCTAGAGACAACGTGTGTTGAAGAAATCTGGATTACTGGCTGTCGCAGCTACAGGAACATCTCTTAGATGGGACTTCCATGGAGGAAATACTAAAATCCCTTCAGATGTTCTTCAACGCTATAGGTTTTATTGATGATGCTTCTGCCGAGTCTGTAAAACTTTCAGCCAGGGCTGGAGCCCTATTTGTGGCAGCCAGGTCGGCGATTTGGCTCTAGACTTGGTCAGGAAACTCTGCCTCAAACTAAGTTTATGTAATCTTCCCTTTTCTGGAGATCACCTTTTTGGACCAGGCTTGGACAGTGTTCTAGAAAAAACTGCAGACAGAAAGAAGGCCTTTCTTGCGGACAAGAGAAAATCATTTACAAAGAGTTTTTTGGGGGTTTTTTACGTGGTCCAGGGAACATCCACAAGAGAAGAAAAAGGAACAACCAAAGAAGTGCTGGTCAGTGCGCAAAGGCAAACCGAAGAGAAACATCCTTTTCGGCACTCCCAGCCAAGCCTCTAAGCAACATTGACAGCAAGAGCCCAGTGGGAGGAAGATTGGAGGTCTTTTTGCCACAGTGGCAAAAGATAAGCAACAAATTTGACTTCAATATTTATAGCCAGAGGTTGCCCTTTAGAGTTCTATTCAGACCTTCCAGCAAAATTTGTTGACGAGTCTTCCCAAAGATCCCGAAAATGCTCAATCGCTCCCTCTGCTCCTGGTAGAATAAATAAGTCCTGATTCCGGTTCCAGAGGAAGAGAGGGGCAAAGGTTTTTATTCACACATGTTCGTGGTCAAAAAAACCATCAAGGAAGTTTTCAACTGATTCTAAATTTGAGACCTCTAAACAGGACAATCGGATACAAAAGATTTCGGATGGAATACATTTTTCTCAGTAAGAAACATGCTACAAGAAAAATGTGTTCATGGCAACAGTCTGTGGAATTTTTGAGAGCTTTCCCAAATGGGAATGTGGAGACATGCATCAGAGGCTGGCAATGGAGATTGAGGGGAAACAATATCCCTTCAAAGCAGGACTTTGCCTTTTAGTCTTTCATATTCTCCAAGAATATTTACGAAAATGCTGGCGTAAGCTCTGGCACCTTTAAGGCTACAATCTATTCCAGTGATGCCTTATTTACACGACCTTCTGTTTATGGCACCTACGGAAACTCGCGGAAACAGAGAACCTCATTCAGGCCCAACAGTGGCTAAGGTCCCTAGGTTGAATTCTAAATTTGGACAAATTGAATCTTTGCCCTGCTCAGAAGATCCTCTTCCTATGTTATCTTCGATCCAAATATCAAAAAACTCTTCTTGCGGAAGACAATATCCTCAACGTCATGCGCAAATTGGCATTTCTGCAGAACTATTGGTCTTTTTTTTTTTTAGTAAGGGAACTGATGTAAGTGTTAGGTTGGATGACTGCAACATTTTCGGCAGTGCAGTGGGCCAGATACCATCAAAGGCCCTTACAAGCCTTCTTTCTGAAAATACAGAATCAGGGACCTCTGGACAGGAAAGTTGTGTTTTTTTGATTTTTTTTTTTTTTTTTCTTTTTTCTTCTCTGCCAGCCAAAGTGAAGCTTGCTTTATTGGGTGGAGAGACCACACTCATCTAGATCAGGGTCTGACCTAGATTTATCCGGTCTCCACGAATATTATGACAGACGCAAGCCGATGGGGTAGGAGAGCCCATATGGAAGGGGGAGTGGACCCCAGAGGATTTTTTGAGTGGCCAAAAAGTTTCTCAGGAAGACTTTGTTTTTGTTTGTCATGGTTTTTTTTTTTTTTTTTTAATTAAGATGAAATCCAAGAAGGTATAGAAGATGCATTTTAAAGCTGAATCACACTGCATCTGAGCGCCGCAACATGAAAATGCTTTTTAATTAATTTGTAATATTCACAGTAAACTCATCCTTCCATGTCTCCATGCTTTATTTTGCTGAGAAATCACTTTGAAAAACACTCCCTAGCATTTCTGGCTGCGGTCATCTTGAGTAAGGGCTGATTCAGGTAGCATTTACTTCCTGGAATCCATCTGCTCTTAGCTCAGGCAAGCAGGCAGGAGGGTGTGCTTAGCTTATCAATTCCCTCATCCTTCTCCAGGATGCAGCTAAGGAAACGTGTAAAGGAAAAAAAAAAAAGTTTAAAACAAGTAAATCTAATATACTTTCTTATCTATTTACTAATGCTAGAAGCATAAGTATTAATAATATTAATCAATGTAGATTGAGAGAGTGAAGTTCCAATTTAAGGCCCTTTTCAAATGGCCAGGTAGCTGTGTCTGCCATTTCTTGCTGCAGGAATCCAGCAGCCGTAGTTACCCAGCCATGTGAAAGAGGCCTAATACTTACAAAATTCTAGAATACAACATATGTGCCAACACATTGTAGATTGTATGCAGCTTTACAAATAATGTGTATTTTTTTTTTTTTTTTTTTTTTAGAACATGCTGATGGCTTGTGCTATAGGGTTAACAACTGTGTGTCCCACTGTGAAACCACAAACCCAGGGATTAGCAAAGGATGCTTGGGAAATTCCTAGAGAATCTCTGAGACTTGAAGTGAAGTTGGGTCAGGGATGCTTTGGCGAAGTATGGATGGGTAAGTTGTAATTTTGATGCATTTAGTGAAAGTTTTTTTCTAAATCAATTAAAGATTCACTCCATTAACCCTTAATTCTACACATCTTACAATATCAGCCACTGTGGGCCTGCTTCTATTTTGTACAGCTGCCTCTGGTGATTTCAGTTTAGAGATCTTGTGCTAAAGAGCCACACAGTCCTTTTGCGTGTGTGTGTGCATGTGGGGGTATTAATCTTGAGCTGGCTTTTAATGTTTTTTTTTCACCTGGTGATCCTATTGGTAACACACTTGCTGCCCTAGGATGAGAACACTTACAATATTCTGTACCTATGGTGGAAGTGTCCCCAGAGGAGAGAAAGTATCAGGACTACAGGACAACCCCCCCCCCCCCATAACATAAAGGGGAAGATGGGTATTCTTTACTCTACAGAGAGAGAACTGAATTGTTTTAACTGAAAACTGTGCAGCTCAATACATTACTGGCAGGATTGCCAGGTATTATTTAAACTTTTGAACAGATGTAACTAAACACCTTCAATCACATATTTAACGAGCTGAAATAAGTATAAGAAATACATTGTTAGGGTTTAAATTAAATAGAATGTACCATCTGAAGTAAGCATACAGCTGCATGAGTCTTGGAAAGCATTTTACATTCACTGATGGATTTGCTTTTAGTATATTTAGGCTTCCAGTCTTAATTCTGTTCTTTTAATGCCCTCAGATCTCACATAATGTTGCAGTAGTGTATGTTAGATCTTCTTCTTCTCTACCTCTTTATGGAGCAGTATTGCATGGCTTCAGTTAAATAATGCAGAACAAGCTAATAGAACTGATGTATTTTGAACCTATCCATTTAGCGTAGTGAGACTAATCTCTAGGTAATGAGTTTCCTGTGCTTTTAAATAAGATATTATATGCAGGCAGACTGTGTCAAAAGTTGTTGCCCTTATGAAGTTTTTTTTTAAAAATGTCTATAATTCAACATGAGTAAATAAGTTCCTAGTCTTTACCAAATATCAGTGAACTTGGATAATTCTTTGATCTACATATCTGCACATTGGCTTTAAAGAGGAAATCTTTAAGTATATTTTTTTTTCTCTTCTGTGATGTTTATTGCCTTTAACTTCCTGTGTGCATTGATCTGCAAATAGCATTTTCTTTTAAGTACAACAAGGTGTATTAAAAGAAAAAAACTGATACTTTTTTTTTTTAAAAAATATTTTTGCATTTTAATATTCCACCAGCAATCTTGTAATTTAACTTTTTACTTCAATTTTCCTTGGTAGATCATTGGTTGCTCTTTTATTTCTGCTCAGTAGAGTTCTGAAAATGCTTTTTGTTTTGCTTTTTTCCCCTGTAGGAACTTGGAATGGAACGACTAAAGTAGCCATCAAAACACTAAAGCCTGGAACAATGATGCCTGAAGCTTTCCTACAAGAAGCGCAGATAATGAAAAAGCTAAGGCATGACAAACTAGTACCCCTTTATGCTGTGGTTTCAGAAGAGCCAATCTACATTGTTACAGAATTCATGACAAAAGGTTTGTTTCATTGAAAGAATTTTATTTTTTCACAAACCCTGTTATGTAACGCTAAAATGTTTTTATCTTACATCCATTAGATGATTGATATGCCTGCAATCCAAGTGTTTATTTTAGAAAATAAAGAAACATATACAGGAACATTGACTTAGGACTATGGCACACCGGCGACAATTTATCAGTGATGACATAATACTTGCTGCTGATGAATTAAGTCACATTATTCTGGCAAGTAGCTGTCTGCAGCATTTCCATCAGCACAGAGCAGAGTCTCACTAATCTGGCCAGGGACTGACACTTGGAAAGAGTCAAGTATTCTGATTGTACTTTCTAGTAACCCTGCTGCTGACAAGCTGTCACCAGTGGCAAGATAGTAAGTGTCCCATGGGCCTTACCTTTAAACTTGCTGAACCACACGCTCATTCGCCGTAAATTACATAAATCATGCCCATCATATTTGGTACGCTTTTTTGTAAAGTTCCTCTACATGTTTACAATAGTATAGGGTTGAGCATATGCGTTGTTGTTAATATTAAAATACTGTATTATTGTCTACCTTTTTGCTTTGAGGAAATATTTTGAAGGAGGAGACCCTGAAACCTAAAAATTATCTATAACTCATTGCACATCAGCATATTATATTCATAATAAAGAAAGGAATAAAGACAGTTTCATATTTGTTGTATCTGGAGATCCATCAGGGAGGGGCCTGAACATGGCGCTGTGAGGTTGCATGCTGCAGGAGCTCCAGACGCCCACCATTGGGTCTAGATGAGAGCTGCCTAGATCCTACCTGGTGACCTGGCCTGTGCAGTGTTGTGTGCCTGCTGTGGCTCCATGGACCAAGGGCCCTCATGGCAGCCGGCTGTGACGGGAGGTCCCGGTCGGTGGGGCGAGGCTGTGTGCCAGTGTTGAGCCCTCGACGGTGTCTGGCAGAGATTGGGGGAGTCCCATGGCCCCGACAGACTGGGAGCGAGAGGCAGCAGCATCCGTGAAGAGAGGGATGCTGGGAGCACCCAAATGACTGCCCATGTGATGGTGACCGGAATCCCGAGGGGCTTGGGAGAGCAGAGAGGCTCTGCGGATGAGGTGACCACGCACTCTGAGGAAACCCCCCCCCCCCCCTTTGCTGAGTCACCTCTTTTGAGAGACCCTGAGACATCTAGAGACCTGGATCTGAGATCCTGGCCAGGACAGAAGAGTGAACAGGGACGGAGTGGTCCCGAACTTCACAGGATGACTCACAGTGCGCTAGTTATAGACCTATGTCACTATTAAACATAGACACAAAACTATACGCTAAAGTACTAGCAACTAGGATGAAAGAGCTGATGCTGGAGTGGATACATTTGCATCACGTGGGATTGATTCCTGGCAGAGAAGGGAGGGACAATGGTCTGAGATCACTGCTCCTTCTACAAAAAGCAAGGAGAGAGAAGTTGCCGACAATAATCCTGTCGATTGATGCTGAAAAAGCTTTTGACAGGGTAGACTGGGGATTTATGATAGACACGTTAGAGGCTTTAGGATTAGGGATCAAAATGTTGAAGTGTATAAAAGGGCTTTATAATGGCCCGTCAGCAGCTTTAAAGGTTAATGGGTCCCTTTCACGATTTTTTAAAATGTGTAACTGTACAAGACAGGGATGTCCACTCTCCCCTTTGTTATTTGTAATATCCCTAGAACCGCTATTAGCGATGATAAGAGAGTGTAGATCAGTGGTTCTTAACCTGGGTTCGATCGAACCCCAGGGGTTCGGTGAGTCAGTCTCGCGGGTTCGGCGGAGGTGAAGACCCACACCCGACTCATATGATTCGTGCAGTAAATATTCATTATTATGTTTTTTGTGTGAAAATCATGTTTTAATGGTTTTGTTCTTAACGGTTTTGTTCATTTTGTGCACCTATGTATAAATATATACCTAAATATATACCTATGTTTTGAATTTTAAAAATCATATTTTATTTTTCCAATTAGGAAGGGTTCGGTGAATGTGCATATGAAACTGGTGGGGTTCAGTACCTCCAACAAGGTTAAGAACCACTGGTGTAGATGTAATATATTATGATAGGCGACGTGGAACATAAGGTGGCATCGTACGCAGATGATATGCTGTTTTATACTGTGAACCCTAGATTAACGTTACCTAAATAAATGAGATCTTTAAAATACTATGGAGAGTTATCAAATTTGAAAATAAACCCCTCAAAGTCAGAGATTTTGAATAGTAATGTCTCAAAGATCGAGAAACAGACCTTACAAAAAGATTTCCCATTCACATGGAGGGAAAGAAGTTATTTAGGAATAAATTTAATTTCCTCTATAAAGAACCCACAGGTGAAACTCTCAAAAACTTAGAATATCATGCAAAAGTTCATTTATTTCAGTAATGCAACTTAAAAGGTGAAACTAATATATGATATAGACTCATTACATGCAAAGCAAGATAGTTAGACTCATAATTGTGATGATTGTGGCTTACAGCTCATGATATTCTAATTTTTCGAGCTTCATCTGTATACCAGGCAAGCTATATCCCACTAATAAATTAAATAAAGGATGAGTTGAGGAGACTCAACGGGATTGCTTTCCTGGATAGGTCGTAAAAACGTGGTAAAGATGGTGATTAGTACCAAAAATCTTGTATAAGTTTAACGTGCTCCCAGTACATATACCATGGTCTTTCTTTGTGATATTAATACAAATGATACTCAGGTTTTATATGGGCAAATAAGAAACCCAAGAATTCTATGGGCAAATAAGAAACCCAAGAATTAATTATGAGGTTTTGTGTAATAATAAAGGGAAAGGGGATTTAAACTTGCCTAATTTTAGGAAATATTATATTTCAGTGCTATTATCACGAATAGTAGATTGGACACATAGCACAAATGTTAGTAAAAATGGAAGGCATATTATGTAAGGCACAATTAGAGAGGTTTATTTGGATACCACATACGTTTCGTATAATGGATGAAAATACTAGCACTTTGACACGGAAGGTATTAAGAGTTTGGGATGCAATGCACAAGCAAATGGGATGGAAGTACAATTCAATATTAATTCCTCTGGTGGGAACGAAATTTTTTCCACCAGGGAAATGGATAAAAGAAAGAAATGCATGTTTAAAGGATATAGATAAGGAGGAACTATTCTTTTTTTTCAAGATTTTAAGAGTAAAAAAGATTTACTTTTCACATTAGATGAATGGCGGTATTATCAACTAGGACATTTTGTTGCAGCGCTCCCACAACCAATGAGAATGTTGGAGGGCATTTGAAAAAATGTTGAGTTCAAATACAGTTCAAAAACATGCCACCTCTAGGATTTATAAGACCCTAACACCCTGGTCTCATCGGGGTGCGATTTGGCATACGATTTGCATGCCATGCGACTTGCACTGTAAAGGGTGCCCCCACCTCACATTGTAATGGCTCCAGGGCTTCTTGCAGAATGCCGACTGTTGGCAACGGCGTAAATCAACATAGAAGGGCTGCACAGGGGACGTGGCAGGCAAGCTCATTGGTGATACAAGCTCACTGTTTGTGGGCACAGCATCCTGTATCTCTGTACAGAAAGAAGAGATAAGCAAACTGACTATGCCAGCACAGATTTCCTTCTGTGGTTGATGTGGTCAAAATGAAACCGACAAGGGGGAAACTGTCAGGGTCACCAGATAATAAATTGTAAATAAGGCTCTCCGGTAAGAACGGGGGAACCCACAACAACATAGAATACAGTCACATACATGTGATATGAACTTTTGGGAGAACATACTCGTTAAACTCTTTTGATTTTCCATTGTGATCTGCAACAGATGATCCTGTTGCCTTAGGACAAGCTAATAAAGTCCCTGAACAGACCACTTAGTTTTGCACTGAGGGCTAGGTTGTCACGTGCATGGTGGCTCTGGAAGTTCAGACAGACAATCAAGCTTATGGTCCCAAGGATCAGGTTCCACCCTTCCTGACGGTGCATTTTACTGGATCTACTAGGCTTTACAGCATTAGGCATCATTAGATTTACAAGGCTGCCACCTGTTCACATGTTCTCTAGATTCTACTATGTTGCAGCCTTGTCTGCTGCCACTTTTGGGCATAAGGTCCTTCAGACAGCTTTTTTGCGCTGCAGATGGTCCCAGGTTCTTTGTAGTTTTTCCCACCCTTCAGTTAGACTGCTTTTGAATATCCTAAAGGTTGGACTTTGTGTGCTTATTTGGCATCGAAAGAAATTAGGAATTTTGTACTCGCCGTAAAATCTTTTTTTTTGAGTTAATTGAGAGACCCAAGTCTTATTCCTATGTGTTTTATAATCCCACTCCCACTGCTTTGCTAAGAAACTGGGTCGTGGTGGTAATGGGAGAAGTTATCCTGGGGTGGCCTACAGTTTGTTTGATTGCCAGTATAACCTGAATGGTAAAGACTTCCCGTGTCCTTCAAAGGACTCTAAGGAAAGAATTTTATGATGAGTACAAAAATATATTGATGTTCTTGCTGTTGGATAGCAATGGAGCCAGGTAAAATACATTTGTTTTGTGTTTAACAGGCAGTCTTCTGGACTTCCTTAAAGAAGGGGATGGGAAGTATTTGAAGTTGCCACAGCTTGTTGATATGGCTGCACAGGTAAGAGTATAGGCTGCGTTCCCTCATGTCATGGTGGTTGTTGCAATCAACAGGTTAATTAACCTACATTTTCTCTCTTTTGTAGATTGCAGATGGTATGGCCTATATAGAAAGGATGAACTACATTCACAGAGACCTCCGAGCTGCTAACATCTTAGTGGGGGACAATCTTGTTTGTAAAATTGCTGATTTCGGTCTGGCCAGGTTAATAGAAGACAATGAATACACAGCAAGACAAGGTAAAATTACTAAAATATAAATAGTGTAGGGCTGCCTTTAAACAATGTGTATATAACACAAGTGATGTGCAAACTGGGTATGTGTAACCAAAACCACAATGCTGCAAACGGTTCACAATTAACTTAACAAGTGTGTCTGAATAATAGCACAAAGTATACGCATAATTGTAGGAAACAGCTCCAGTGCTGTAAAACAAAAAAAAAAAGATCACTACGTAATATTAAGTGATAGAAGTGGTCATTAAATAAAGGTATTAAAAAAGTTCAGTCCACAAATGAAAGTCTGTATCACTTTTTCTTTCTTAGATATGTGACCATAAAACCAGTGCTGCAAGGATAAGCTTCCCTTTCCAGTGAATACACCCACTGACATGCTCCAGGTGGATTCCCACCTTTTAAATTTGGATACAAATGGGCCTCATCACACTTTTCCCACTCCAGGGTCCAAAATGCAGCTGGCAGGCACACCTTCCCTTTTAATCAATCTTCAGTCGTGCTGTGGCTTTAAGGCTCCAAATGCACCGACTAAATGATCTAGATGCTCAGAACCAGATATTTCCAACCATATTCTAGTAAGATTAAGGTAAGTATTTATTGAATAAAAACACACACCTACATTCATCAAAGGTATATACCGTAAGGAACTCTTGATAAGCCAGGATCATGTCCTACCACCTGCATCCAGAATTGACTGACATCACCATAAACACCACCCTAACGCGTTTCACCACGCCCCACATGGCTTCATCAGAGGATGTTATTGTGATAAGGCCTTTGTGTGTCTAAATTTAAGGTGAGCGTCCACCTGGAGCACATTACCCACTACTCTGTGTTCAATACTATGGCAGCTGAGTACTGCTTTTAGCCCAGACAAACTTTCCTGCCTTTTCACTCTAGCTGGGATAGCAGATAAAGGACTAGTTTGTTCTAATTTTTATGTTCACTGCAATGTTGGATTGTAGCCAAGCTATGTCAGGTAATCCTTTCCTTAGTTCAGATCCACAGATCACGCTGATTTAAGTGCCAGTCAGTGGAGAAACAATGTAAGTAGGACTTACATTGAAGGCCTACTTAAAATAATTGATGTTGCAATGGGGACATACTGTAGGTTGACACTTTGCTATCCTCCAAGTCCAGTTCCAGTTACAGAACCCACAAGTTTTTTCACCAAGTTCAGAGGGTTCTAAGCATCCATGGTAAACAAAAGTCTCCAAGTGTATAGATAAATCAGCCCTTCATGAAGATGGGCTCATGAGGTGGGGGAACACCTAATATTCTCTGAGTAATCTTAAAGATCTCTACACTAGTTCTGGGTTTTCTTTGTATCGGAGATAGTCTGGTCATTGAATACATGGACAATCTGCTTCTGTGTAAGCAGGCCTCTCTGGTCTTTGACTCCATTGTGTCTATATCAGTGCGGACTTTGGATGACTTTGTAACATCAGGTTTGACAGCTCCAATCACTACATCAGTATTTCTAGCAGAGCTGTATACAAGTGCTGGTATTAATGGTATCCACCTTCATCATGATGCTATTTCCCGTTTTCACTCCAAAACTTTGCATAGAATGTTCGCACGGTGTTGGACAAATAGTCTTTTCTCTGAGCGCAGACGATTTGTGTTCAGCTCAGCCACTTGCTGTCAAATTGGGATGCTGTGTCCTAATAGAAATTAATGGGCTGCCATCACACAGCACCTGATGACTGAAACCACATAAGAAGGTGCTCATTCATAGGCTACAGCTGTCAATGACAATCTGAGTAAGGCCTAACTCACTGATTTCGTACTTTCATTCAGAGGTTGCACACATTGATCCCCCTTTCAACCTCCACTCTAACCAGAGTCAGTTTTTTAGCTTAACACATTAAGCACAATAAAATAATATTTCTCAGTAAACTGTATGTTAAAATTTTTATCCAAGCACTTGCAGTTTACAGCTTTCAGCGCTGATGGCTCTTGCTGTCTATTCTGCTTTCCTGAACTTCCAGTCTTTTCAGGAACGAGTTAACTGTGGACCGTGCATTCTTGAGTCAGTCTTTTAGGTTTCATCAGGAGGGAGAAGCAGGGAAATGCCTTACCAATCTAGGCTATGGGGGCTGTGTTTCTGGATCCAGAGCGTAGGGAATCACAGCTTCAATCCTGCATGCAAGGGTGGCTCCAAAGAACACTGCAAGAGAAAGGAGCTACCCTGAAATGGGAAACCTGAAGCAGTGGTCATGGCACCAACTTAACATGGGCAAGGATTAAAATATGAAGAAGCTGCATACTTAAAGATTAAATCAGTTGCTGAAAGGGCTTGAAAACTGCTGGTTTAATATTTCAACTCTAGTTTTGTCTGTGTTGCAAAACCCCCTGTTTGAACATATTCAGGACATTCATATCTTATCAAAAAACATGAGCATTGAGATCTCCTCCCAATTTGATTGAGATGGAACACTGAAGAACAGCTTGACTCCTGCAAGTCATCAAAGGGTATTGTAATAGAAGAAAATGTCAGCAGGCAGTAACTGATTTTCATTGACAGCTTATTATTTAAGGGCTAAAATCCTTTAATGACAAAGATGTTATGCGTTTTGGCTATGAGGTCCTAATGATAGCTGTGATTAAATCCTCATTGACCAAAATGTGTTAGCCATGATCAGATTTTAGTGGTTTAAGTGATGTTAGTGATGAAAGATCAGATACTGGGCGCCTGTGTTTTCTTCTGGTGTTTTTCTTTTCTTATCCCATAAGGTAGCACTTCAGTTGAAATTTTCTGAGTTTCAGCATTGTCCTGTAAAGAATCCCAGTTGATGTTACATGCACACAAGGTTGATTGAGCCCTAAGACTTCCTTTAGGCCAGAGTGGTCTCTGCACTTTACCACTCAGTTTGGGCTAATGATGGCTGTACTTTGGTTGCTCATTACCAATAAAGCTGTGTCTCTCAATGGCTGATAGAGAAGATACTTGTAATTACTGTAAATATCATGTCCCTGAATGGGCTCCGAGAACAGTATTTTATGGTGAATACAAAAATCCAAATTTTGAAGGTCCATTTTATTCTGGTTATGTATTGAAACACATTGATGCATAATGGAAGGCATGAGTACACTGGGTTGATTTGTATATAACCTTGTAATTATTTTTCATAAGCAAACACTCAAAAGTAATCTGTTCTGTGCCAATTTAGGTGCAAAGTTTCCTATCAAGTGGACAGCTCCTGAGGCTGCCTTGTATGGCAGATTTACCATCAAATCTGACGTCTGGTCATTTGGCATTCTTCTGACAGAGCTGGTCACCAAAGGAAGAGTGCCATATCCAGGTACTGAATCCCATCGCTGGTTGCCTCCCACTTTCTGTGTTTTGTAATGTTTTCTGTTTGCCACTAAAGGAAGCATTTATAAAATCTATATATATGACCTTGAATAATTGAAATGTGGATCGGTATGCAAGTAGAAGTGTGAGAGTTGTGTAAAAATTACTTCTAAGTCAATGTTATAATTAACATGGTAATATGTTGAATAGCCCTTATATTTTTCTTCTAATTGCAGTTTATGCACACACATTTACGGGAACAAGAAGTGCACAGTATAGCTTGTGTTGCAAATTGATTATTGACAATGTTGGCAAACTGTAATATATGTGGATGAACAGTCTGAAAAGTAAAACTTTTTAAAAGGGTCGTTCTCATGGGTAGTTTAACATCTGCCTTTTATGCATCACTTTGTGTTATGTTGATCGGAAGGATGTTGGACAAACCACAGAGGCATAAATGGTCCATTTGTGAGATGATAAATACTGCTCTACAAACTACATGATGCATGCAATCTAAAGTAATGTACATTCAAAAGACATTACATTGTGGTGCATAGCTTGCAGCTTATTATGTGAGCTATAGTGTATGTAGAAATGTCAAACCCAATTGTCTCACGTTTGTGGGAGTTATTTAAAAATATGGGTATAATTTTAGGCACTTAAAGCAGATCCCTTATCTAGATATATTCAGGCTACAGTTCACGGCAGTAGAGTAGATATGAAGAGGTGTGAATAAAATATCCTTAAATTTATCCTAAAGTCTTTTTTTTTTTTTAACCTAAAATTATTATTCTACAGGATTTATATAGCGACAACAGTTTGCTCAGTACTTTACAATATAATGGGAGACAATACAGTTCAATACAAGAGGGATAGGAGGGCCCTGTTCCTTGGAGCTTACAATCTAGGAAAAAATAAGAGATTTATACTTACCTGCTCTGTGCACTGGTATTGGACAGTGTCTGCTCTCATAGCAAACTGCTGGCTATGGGTGCAGACGTACGGGCTTGCTTCTCAGCCAAGCTGTGTGTCTATAGCCACACATGGCACGACGCATACCCTGCCCACCCCCCAAGTACTGAAGAATCATCTTATCTTACTCTTAGTGGAGCTGCATCTGGGTATCACAAACCTCAAATGCTATATAATTTTTAATATTCAACACCAATGCCTCCACCCATCCATGTCTTTATGCTTTATTTTGCTGAGAAATAATTTTTAAAAACACCTAGCATTTTTGGAAGTGGCCATCTTGAGTAAGGGCAGATGGTTCATGTAGCAGTTACTTCCTGGAATCCATCTGTCTTTAGCTCAAGCATTAGCTGAGCTGAGAACCCTCCCTCCTCTCCTGAAGGCTCCTTGGATGTATGACAATATTTGCCTAGGCCTGGAAACCAGGAGCTAAAAAGGTTAAAATAAGAGGTATGATATTTACTAATGCTAGCAGCATAAGGATTAGAAATAGTCATGTTGATTGAGAGAGTGAACTTTTGCTTTAAGCAAACCTTCACCACTAGATGACATGAGATGGTCATGAAACCATAGGAAAGTTTGGTAAACATTTCATAAAGGAAAACAATCATGGGAGGCTGCTTTGAGATGCTAGCATTGAACATGTACAGGCATATGGAATTCTGCTTTTGTTTTAATTTTTTTGTTTTTTTTTCTTCTCTCTAGCGTCAGTTTACTGTGTACTTGCTCCAGGCCAGTGACAGGCAGAATTTTCAGTAGGCCAGAAATGGCTTCCTCTATATTTCTCTTTGAATTTCTTTGCCTAACCTGCACTTTAAAAGGGAATATGGAATCTAAACCAATTCCAGGGCAACAGCTGGCTGTTTCATACATTTGCCTAGTTGTACACTTACAACCTCCTTATTCAGTAGTTTCTGGCTAACTATAAAACTCTTTCCACAGGAATGGTGAATAGGGAGGTGCTGGAGCAAGTGGAGCGTGGCTACCGAATGCCCTGCCCTCAAGGCTGCCCAGAGTCTCTGCATGAATTAATGAAGTTGTGCTGGAAGAAGGACCCAGATGAGAGGCCAACCTTTGAATATATTCAGTCATTTTTAGAAGACTACTTTACAGCAACAGAGCCACAGTACCAACCTGGAGACAATCTATAAGAGGGAGAGCAACCATAAAATGCACACTACTTGCCAAAAGTATACAAGAGACTTTGCATAAGTTCTTGCCTGTTCCAGTATCGGAATGGAGAATCTTGATCACTCTGCATGCTTATGGCGAATTGGAAATCCACAGTACAGTTGCACAAAACCACTTTGAAAGTATTGCAAGCAAAATGGACAAATCATGTGATTCAGAGCAGGTCCCAAAGAATGGTCAGCAGTGGTGTGGATGGTTGGTTAAGCCATTAGGAACACAATGTTCAGCCTGCTGTATTAATTCATATTTCTTTTTTTCTTCCTTAAGCAAACATTTCAGGAACATCAAATAGGGGCTCATCACTGGACCAAGCATTTCATTCCTGTTCATTCGATAAAATCTTGAGTTTTTTTTTTTTTTTTTTTTTCATATACATCTTATGCTGACATATACAATATGAAAATACATTGCCTTCCACATAGCTACAATGCCCATGGATGAAGTGAAGGGAAATGGTTAATTAGGATTTTAACCAAAAGGTTAGACATTGTGTATTAAATTTAGACAATACTAATACTCTGTTTCCGTATATATCTCCTTTCTTTGCTGTCGCTATTGTCATGTAGGGGAGTGAGCAGTTTATCTGAGCTTGCTGAAGTCACTGAACCTCCCTCCAGAGGCTTTTCCTCTACATTGAACATCTCCAAAGAGTGACAATTGAATCGCCTAAGACTGCCTGCAGGTCATAAAGTGGTGTTTTAACATCAAGCAATATCCAAAAATGTTTATTATGCATTTATTGTGATTTCTTCCTCCCCCCAACTCTCATGGGCAATCAGAAGTGGTTATAGGTTTATTTAATGTGCAGATAATCATGTATGCAATCTCATGCATTTTTGATACAATTTTTTAATGCTATTTTTGTGACTCTTTATTTGTAAGAAATAATCGGAATCACACATCTATGACACTATTTGAGAATTTCCTGTAGTTCAGGAATTTCAGTGATAGCACTTTGGCTTATCTTTGACTAATATTAGTGTGAGGTGACTGGAGCAAAATGTGAATGCTTGATATGACTGTATTCTGACATGGTTTATTTACTGTGGTTGAAGCGCAAGGTCCCCAGTGCCAAGCTGGCTGGACAAACACGCTTGTGCAAAGTTTCACAAGTATTACCGACCCATTTCTGGCAATAATTTTTTTTTTTCCTTTTAATTTTCTTTTCTTGCTAATATGTTTATCTAGCAAAACATAAAGTTCTAACTTGTATTTCCCATTTTACATTTCACACACTACAATCGGGACAGGTCCAAGATCAGTTCTTAGCCTCTAGGCACATTTGTTAACATTTCCAGTTTAACACCAGGGACCAGCTAGGCCATGCCCTCGTCCCACTCGTTTCCACAAAACCCAATCATTTTGCCAATTTTTTTAGGATTGTTGGCAAATATGTACAGATATTTGGTAATGTGGAACTATATTTTTGTTTACAATTCCCTACATGTGTTTTCAATGGCAGTGCCATCACAACATTGTTCCCTAAAATGAAACTTTTTTTTTTTAAAGGGCTTTATATAAAAATTATGGAATTGTATCTTTTTATAAGACTTTTCAAACTAATTTAACTCAAACTCTGTAAGTTTCTGTACTAAGTAAAGAACATCAGTGCTTGGCAGTCTGACTGGCTGTCAATCAATGTCTTTTCACTACTAAACATTGATCATGTAACATCATTTGTATAGTAACAAATTAAATGAGTAATTATTGCATTGGAAATGATTGTGATGGTGCATATCTAATGGGAAGGGGAGCTTACTGGCTGATACATTTAACACAATGTTATGTTTAAATATGATGCCTGTTGGAGTAACAGGCAATCAATATGTAAAATAAACAAAATCCTTTTTTCTTTTTTTACAAACTTGGTGGTTTTTTTTTTTTTGGGGGGGGGGAGGGGGAGTGTGTCCAGAAAGGTAGCTATCAAACTGGTAACATTGTTAAAGCAAACTATGGGAACGTCTGTGACCGGTTATATACAAAATAAAGCAAGGTGGTTAAAGTTTGCATCTTAGGATTCAGACTCCATTTGAGAGCAGATCTCTAACACTAGCATCTCTTTTTACAGTAGTGCACTAGCTTTTTTATCATTTCAGATTGGCTGTAATGAAGAGATCTACAGTACGTATATCCATGTGATATCAACTTACTGTAAATGCTATGCCTCTGTTATAAATAACTTTATGTATGGTGCTTCGAATGTTAGACCTGTGCCTGGGGTATTTGATCCACTGATTCCAAAAATGGCACCAATGTTGCCCTAGCAGCTCTAGTTTCTGAGATACAGTATAAATGCCATATACCACTCTTAACTCTGGTCGCCCATCACAAATCAGGATATTTTAATGTATTGTTTTACTAAATCTCCTTGTAGTGTGAAAGAAACACCAAAAAGTAGCCTTTAACTCTATGGTGCTCAATGTGCAAAAATGGAACAATATGAGTGTCAATATGCACACACTTCCTAAATTATAACTACAATACACTTCACAACTTACACTTTAATTTTACACTGGAAACATTGGATGCTACAGTTGGAAGTACATAAGCGCTCTCACTATATCTGCTAACTTGTATTCAAATCACAGACCAGGTAACAGTTGAACAAGTCAATCAGCAAGATCTTTTTAAAAAAATGTCAACCTTATCAAAAAAAATTAGAGCTGATGCAGTCTAGCCAATGTAATTTTTTAATCTGTGCCCCAAATAACCCCAATAACAAGCACCAAGAGAAAAAAAAAATATTTGTTTTTGGAGCGGGGGGGGGTTTGTGTAATTTAAAATTAAGCTTGTACCTTATCAAAGAAATTAGAGCTGAATGCAGTCTAGCCAATGTAATTTTTGGAATCCGT